TGGCGTCGCCGCCGCCGCCGCCGCCGCCGCCTCCTGGCGCCTGATAAGACGCGTAGTCCGAGTAGACGGCCTCTCCCGTCGTCGGGTCCGTGACCACGTCTTCGAAAAGAGGCTGGTAGCCGCCTTCAGCTGCGGGGGGCTCCTCTGCCTGTGGCGCTTCGTCCACCTCATCAGCCCCGAGGGAGAAGAGTGACACCTTTTTCTTCTTGGGTGCTTCGGCGGGCGGTGCGGCTGTCGTCACAGCGTCGGCGCTAGACGAGCCCGCTGGCCTTGTCATTGCTCTTGGCGCAGACGAAGCAGCGGCCTTGGCACCGCTCTTCTTGGCCGGCTTCCTGGCCACCGAGAGCGGGCGGAACATGAGCGGCTTGCCCACCAGCTTCACCTCGCTCTCGGGCTTCTGCCCCTCGGGTATCGAGGGGCCCTGCTGTTGCGGCCCCTGAGACTTTGGCGCGGGAAGTTTCATTCGCATTCCCCCACCTGCTGCTAGCCTGTCCGGGGCAAGGCCAGTATTTGCGTTTCCAAACTCGTCCACCTCGTCGCCATCGCCGCCGGCGGACGGAGGAGGCTCGCGGCTGAAGGCGGCCTCGGCGCTGGTTTTGAAAAACGAGAAGGGTAGCGGCTGCGCCGAGGAGTAGGAGGAGGAAGATGATCCCGATGGCTGTGACGATCTCGACGCCGCGACGGGGGCGACGGTATTCTTGGGCGGGGGCAGTGCGGACCGGAACGCGCCGAAGCGGCCTCCACCACCGCCCTCGGTCCTGGCGCGCTTTGCGGGCGGCTCGTCCGAGCTGGCCGAGGCCGAGGGGAGGTTCACGATGATCTTGCGGGGGTTGGCGCGGTCGACGAGCTTCGGCGCGGCAGTCGGTGGTTTCGCGGAGCTGGCTGGCTGTGGCGGCGCGGGCGCGGCCTCGCCCTCGGAGTCGGAGTCGGAGTCGTAGTTGACCAAGGCCATTGCTGCTGGCCGTGTAACCGGGGGTGGTTCGAGTGCGTGTCTTGATTTTTGGCAGCGCGTCGTTGTGGTCTCCCGACTGTGCTCACAGATATCAGGGATTCTGGTCGATGAGGCAGCACAGCAAGCAAGAAGCATCCGAGTAGCCCAAGGCTTGCGTGGAGTGAAAGGCAGTCGCAGCCTCGACGCGGTCGAAACTAATGGCGGGCCCGCTGAATAGAGTGTGATTTGTTGCCGGATTGGTGCAAGCGCGGCCATGGTATCACAGCTTTTACCAGGCACCTAAGACATCAATCAATATATAATCCTTGCTGCTGCAGCTGGGAGTGGGGAATGACATAATCACGGGACGGAACCGTCGTCAACTGCGTTTTGGACAGAATCTCGCGCGATTGGAGCTTCGACATCTGCGTCAACTTCCGAAACAGCGACGCAGCCCACCAGCGCGCCGTCTATACTTCTCCCCGCTGCTCATAGACCTAGACACACCACACACCCCAAATGCCACCGTCCTCTATCCAGTCTCGGCCGAATCCGCCATGAAGCCCGTCGCAGAAGCAGCCGCGGCACCAGCCATGGCCGCCGTCGCAACCGCCTCAGCCGTCGGCTCCCAGGTCTTCGCCCTCGTCGCCCTCGTCCTCATGTCCCTGACCGTCCTGCTCCTCCTGCGCTACTACCTGCCGCTGCGCAAGACCCCGGCCTACCTCCTCGTGCCTGTCTTCTTCGCCCTGTGGCTGCCTGCTGCCATCGTCCTGCTCGTCCCCATCGACTTAGCCTCGTCCGCAGCCACCGACGATGAGGCCTCGCGGGGTGTCTGGCTTCCGAATCGCGTGCTGCTCGTCTCGTGGCGCATCACCTACTGGCTCACCTTTGTTCTGACATGGTACGTGTTGCCGCCTTTGCTCTGCCGTTACCCGAGGCATCCATCACGCATATCTATCACAGACCCCCCGCTGACTTGAGGCTTATGTCGCTGCCTGCTTACAGGTTCATCCTGCCTATCCTCGGCGAGTACTCGGACGCCGGCCACCGCGACCCCAAGGACAAGCTCATGTATTCGCTGCGCGAGAACGCCCAATACTACGCCATAGTCCTAGGAGCGAGCTTCCTAGGCCTCATCTACCTCATCTTCTCGTACGGCATCGATCTCAGGGGCCTCAAGGGGCTTGTCATGGCCCTCGCCTACTGCTGGGGCCTGGTGCTCGCCATATACCTGATGGGACACGGCCTCGTCTCCATCCCGCGGTCGCTGTTGCGCGGCGCAAGCGTCAGCAACCGCCTGCGCCGCCTCCAGGCCCGCGCACCCCGCCTGTACGAACGCATGGAGGAGGCAGAGGCAGAGCTGGCCGACCTCGAAGCCCAGGTTGCCGAACTGGCCCGTCGCGGCAAGGCCCCTAACGGTGGTACTGCCCGCGACTACCAGGACTGGATCGAGGAGCTGATCGACATGACGACCACGCCAGAGGACGGACCGCAGCTCCTGCCTGCTGCTGCTGCCAGCGGCGCCAGCAGGGCGCTGCCGACCATCATTACGGAAAAGTACATGGCCGAGCTCACACGCCAGCTCGTCAGGGCCCGCCACGCCCGCAGCCGCTACGTCGGGGAATGGGCCTACCTGCTTCGCCAAGCGCGCGATACGCAGGCGGTGCTCGACTCGGCCGGCTCCAAGCAGCTCGACTTTGGCCGCGCGGGGCCCGGCGCCGGGTTCTGGGACCGCCTCACGGTGCACAGTCCCTACACCCGGCACATTTACCACTTCCATGTCCTCCCCTGGGCCCGGACCGTGCTCGGAGCGGTGCTCGCCGCGGCGTCAGCCTGCATCGTCTGGTCCGAGATGATCAAGGTTGCGCTGCCGTCGCTGTCGGTGGTGCGCCTGAGCGTCGTGCACCACTGGACCGCCGACGGCGTCGGCCAGGTCGGGTTCGCGGGCCAGATCATCGCGGCCCTCTGGATCCTGTACATGGCCGCCGCCGCCTTGGTCACCGTGACCGAGGTCAGGGTGTGGCGTGGCCGCGCCCTGGTCCGGCGCAACACGGCGCACGAGTCGGCCTTTTGGTACGCCTCGCAGGTCGCTCGCTTGAGTGTGCCGCTGTCGTACAACTTCATGACCTTCCTCTCGCCCGCCGTCTACAAGCCCACCACCTTTTACATCTTCCTCGGGCAGCTGATCAACCTGACCCCGCTGGGCGCGTGGTTCGACTACCTGTTTCCCGTCTTCATCATCGTGCCCGTCTGCGCCACCATGTTTGGGCTCTACGCCAAGGTTAGGCGCATGTTCGGGTTCGACGTCGATTTTATCGGTGGCGACGGTTCAGACGACGACGAGGACGACGACGTCCGGGCTTTGTCGGGCTATGGTACGGGGTCGTGGCGTGAGGGTCGGGATCTGATCGAGCGCGAGCTCGCCGGCACCTCGATCCGCCAGAGACGACTGGGCCTTGGCGCGGGCGCAGGGGGCGCAGGGGGCGCAGGGCCCGCCGGACGCGCGGGGAGGGCGGCGCCCGTCCTGTCGATACCAGGTGCCGCGGGGTCCAGGGGCCTTGGCAGTGGCGGCGGGGACCGATCCAGCCGCACACCGCTCGCGACCTCGCCAAGCGGTGGGCTCGCCTCGTCGCGTGGCGCGGGCGGCTCGTCGAGGCGGGGTGGCCGGGCCGGGGCGACGGTGCTCGGCGAGGACGACGAAGACGATAACTTCTTCCAGGCGCTCGGCCACCGCATGAAGAACACGATCGACTCCATTGACGCGCCAAAGTGGTGGCAGGAGATCGGGGAGGGCATCAAGAAGCCAAAGTGGATGGGCGGTGACGACGACGCCAACGCCGGCGGCAGCAGCAGCAGGGCAGGAGGCGGTGGCGGTGACGGGCCAGACCTGAGGAGGTGGTTTGGAGGCGGTGACGGACGCATCAGGCTGTGAGCCAACAGGGTTGCTTTCTTTCTTCTTCCCCTTGTCTGTCTTTTTTTTTGGTTCTTGTTCCTATTTGCTAAGCCGCATCGGCACAGTCATACACTTTTTAACTAGACAGTTTATGCTCTCAAGAGTGGACATTGCACATGCATGCCTGCCTCCTCCAGCCTTCGGTGCTCAGTCTCCAGCATCTTTGGAAACTTGGTAGCCATGGGTGCTCGACTGCCCAGATTCCAGGTAATCCATGTCGGCGTCACCAGGGCTGCAATAACGACTGCCTATCACACGGTCGTTGTGCACAGGGCCAGCTTCCGAGTCTGGGATTTGTGGGCTGACGGGCATCCTGGCTGGGGAAGACCAGGGCATCTCTGGTTGTTGTTTGGCCAGCAACAGGGGACCCGAAAATGGTAACCCCCTGAGGGTCATCATGGTCCGTCCACGAATGAAGCTAAAAAAGAATGCCGGCCCAGACCACCCTGGAAAAACCTGGGGGGGGGACCCCTTGGCACGCCCGCCAGACCCCGGTCTTCCAGCATCATCACTACCACGGGGGAAGTGTTTGATGATGACAAAGGCCTTGTAATTATTATGGCGGGGCCCCAGACCGGTAAAGGTAGTTGGAAGGAAGACGAGAAGAAGGAAAACAAAAAAAAAAAAAACAGATGGAAAGCGGCTTGGTGAGAAACAGGGTTGCGTAATTGGAGATGGAGAGTGAGCGACGACGCAAGAGCCAATAAAAGGACTCCCCCCCACGCCCAAAAGCTGCAAGAACCGCCGTCACCGCCGACAAGCACCGCAAACAAAAGCCCGTCAGCACGTCCTGCTCTACGTGTAGGCGGTCGTTGGCGTGGCTGGCTGGCTGGCTGACGACCGGACTACTGCCGTCCCAGGCGGTCGAGACGCAAGGAAAGAAAGAAGAAGGGGGAAAAAAGAAGGAAAAAAAAAAGCCATGCCAAGGGTGAGCCCGGCACATGGTGCGCCCGCGCCAACGCGCCACGCCCATGCCTGTTTTGGGCAAGGAGGGCGAAGTGAGTGCGAGAAAGGCGGTCTCTTTTTTCCCAGCTAACACGACGAATGGATTTTGAGCAGGGGAGAAGAAAGGGCAATGTCAACATGATGGCTGGCAGATGATGACTAGCGCTTGCAGGAGGAGGAGAGGATGAAGGCTGTAGGACATGTCGGTCAAGAGCCATCGCACACACCCACGGCCGTTACGTTTGCAACTTGCGTCACACGCACCCGCCCCCCCCATGGCGGAGTCTGGGTGGTGGGAGTGTTGGAAAGCGCACATATGCTGTGTGGGATCCTCTCCACCATGCTGTGGCGGACATGTATTGGCTGGCCCGCCGCCGCCGCCGTCACTGACCGGCTGCTGGTCCCGAAGGCTATGGGATGGCATGGCTGGGGGGGAAGGGGTTGGTGTGGTTGTATGTATGGATGGATGGCATGTATGTATGTATGTATGTATGTATGGCTGATCGGCTGCCTGATGGAGAAAAGACCGGGATGTCACTTGCGCCGCTCATGGGCTGCGAGGCCAATCGCAAGCTCCGGATACAGCACTCCCCTCACGATGCGTGCCTATCCATGTCCCCCACCCCCTCAGTCCCACCGGGGAACCTGATGGCCAAGTGCCGTGAGCAGGTGGAGGGGGGGTGGTGTGTGTGTGTGTGGTGTCGATGGGGGCTATTTTCTGTTTTGGGACAGGGCGGGAGGAGGAAGCATGCAAACAAACAAGACCCTTGGCCAAGAAAAGCAATATTGATGCCCAACAGCCTATCCCATCCCCCGCCGTTGAAGCAAGAGCCAAGAAAGGGTGAGAGAGAAGAGAGTGAGAGAGAGAGGAGCCAAGCACAAGCCCACTTCCAGATCAGCTCCGCCCGCCACGCCATGCCACGGCGCGGTTCTACCCCATGTACACCCCCCTCTCTCTCCTCTGTATGAAGCGCCTAGAGCCATCTCCACGCCGGGCTGACTTTTTTTTTTTGAGGCTTGCTGACGGGGGGGTGGTGCTTGGCCCCGACCAGTCGCCGTCGAGGATTTCCTTTCCCAGAGAGGTTGCACCCGCACAGTGACAAAAAGTCATGACCTGACCCGACACGACACGCCTGCTGCCGAGTCCTCTACCACCTGGCTGTCCCGGAGACGGATGTGCTGTTGTGCTGTGTTGTGTTGTGTTGTGCTGTGCTGTGCTGGAGATGCGTCCCGGTGGAGTGCCCGGTCGTCATCACCACCACCATCATCATCATCACCAACCCCCCCTCCTTCTCGCGTCACTGTAGCGTATTTCTCCTATTTACGTGCGTCTCCCTCCACCCTTACTCATACGCGCATGCCGGTGTAGATACGGCCCCCAGCAAGCTCGATTCGCTTCGACAAGGCCCGGGGACAAATCGGAACACAGAGAGAAGGAGGGGGTGTGTATGTATGTGTCTCGGGAAGGGACGGCCGACGGAGGGTCGATCGAGTCGGGCCGGAGAGAGAGAGAGAGAAAGAAAAAAAAAACATGACACGCTTCTTTCGCCCGTTGACCGCTGTGTAACCTAGGAGATGTTTGTCTTCCCCAGAGCGCCTTCGCCTCTCTCATCGGCGGAGCTCACCGAGTCCAGGCGTAGTGGCGTTCCCGCTTGCTCTTTGCTTCTTTTTTTTCTCTCTCGGGTTTGTCCTTGAACCATTTTTTTATACATTGTTGCATTATTCTTTCACCAACTCTCCTTGCTCCCTTTGGTTCGTTGCCGAGGTAAAACCCACCCATCCCACCACCCCGTTTATGCCGTGCATATCCCGTCCCAGGATATCTTTCAAGAGCATGACCTTGGACTGGACACCGGTTCGGGCAGGCGGAGCATGAAGCCAAGGAGGCTCGGAGGAATAGCCCAAAAAAAACCCCCCAAAAAAAGAGGGAAAGACCCGTCAATATCACGGCAGCACTCTGTCCCACTCATGCAAGCGCCCCCCATCTAGCCACTCTGCTTTCACAGCCCAAAGGCCCATTGCTCATGGGCGGGGGGTGGGAACAAGGGAACAAAGGAGGGAGAAGGAAAAATAAATGTGGGCAAGCCGCCGGCTGTTGCCTTTCACTTGGTTTATTCCAGGTGTTTGATAATAACAAAAAAAAAAAAAGCACGCTCATGGGAAACCACCCCTCCTCCTCCGCTTCCCGTATTTTCCCTCCCTGCGCGCCTGTAGAACCAGACAAGCCAATTGGTATCAACAACGAATGGGGTAAGGGCTGCCCTTCCCCCCCCGACTTCCTTGCTTTTGCTTTTTTCTGTTTGTTTCTTTGGCTACGTCTTTCCAGAGCGCAGCCACCCGTCCCTCGTCGTCCCCCCCTATCGAGTGAGTGAGATTCGCCTCTTGGGCCTTAATAATCCACCCTCCGCACACGTACACAGAGGTACATATACATACAAAACACACATACACATAGGTCCCCCCGTTGTCAGGGGGGCCAGAGAGGTATCATAGGTACAGAGGAGCTTCCTTGCCTCGGCAACGCGCGCGCCCCAGCCGAGGTCGATCCATCCTTTTTCTTTTCCAAAAGACGCAAGAAAATATACACCCGAAGAGGTAGTGTAGACAGGAGGGGGTCCTAGGTACCCCATGTGACAAAAAGAAACAATGAGGAAGCGAGGGAAATACAAATGCTGCCGGGACTTTTTTTCAATATGTCCTTTGTCCACCACCAGAAACCCCCCCCCGCCGCGTTGCCTTTGGCCGTTTGAATGCGTATATTCGATAAATAGACGAGGAAAAAAAGAAAGAAAAAGGATTGGGCAGTACAAGAAAGCACGGTTTTATGCTGTTGTTCTGTAGTTGCGGACTCTCTGGAAGTCAGGGGGGGGCGGTCTGAAGAGGGGGGAAATTAAGATGCAATTTGGCCGTTATAAAGAGTCAAGGGGAGGAGAGCAGAATGCATGTCGCTTGCGAAACGCTAAGAAGGAGACGGCGGCGAGAACAAGAAATCAAGAAGAAGCCCAAGTCCAGGGATATAAAGCGCCGAGGCAACGCCCAACAAAAAAAAGGAAAAGAGGCACCTATAGAGATAGGCGAGAGGATGGGCCATGGCCAACAAAAAAAAAAAAAAAAAAAGCCGCGAGAGGCGAACAGTAAGGAAATGCAAAGGCTAAAACAAGGGCCCCGACTCGAGGGGAGGTGACTAGTTTGGCAGTCAGTTGAGGAGAGTGAGTGGTGTGAATGCGGTGGGACCGACAGTAAGGAAATACGCTGGCAGATAGATATATAAGACGAAGAAAAAGAAATATGAGCGAACCCAACAATGAGACCGACAAGAACGTTATTCCAATTTGTGGTGTCAGTCGCGAGACTTTGTCAACCTCTTTTAATGACAAGGAGGGGAAAACGAGATATGGGATATAATAAGGGTAATAGGAAAGTATTACAGATTGTACTTGACAGATGAGGGTGAGGGGAGGAAAAGTGGGAAAGGAGTAGAAGAGCGAAGAGCGAAGAGCGAAGAGCGAAGAGTGAGGCGGAGCGAATCTATCATCGCTGTGGGTGCTGCTGGTCGCGTGGCGGGGCGCGGGACATCATGGTGGCCCAGCCCGTCTCCACGGGCACTGCGCGCTCCGGCTGCTGCTGCTGCTGGGGGTAGGGAGGCGGCTGGCCGTGGTGCGGCTGCGGGTGCTGCAGGTGCGGCGGCGGGCCGTGGTGGCCGTGTTGCGGCCCGTGTGACGACGGGCCGACGGGCAGGATCGGGGGCGGGCCTCGCGGGAGGAGGCCCGGCTGCGGGTGCGGCGAGAGACCTGCCGGCGAGGGAGGGCCCAGGTGCGGGCCGCCGGCGGGGTGGTCCAGCCTGAGCGGCGGCAGCCTCTGGTCTCCGCGGGACTGGTGTCCCAGCCGGGGAGACGGCGTGGCTCCGCCGCCGCCGCCGCCTGAGGCGCCGTAAGGGTGGCCAGGGCCGTAGGTGATGTGGTGCTGCGGCCCTTGGTGGGGGCTCTGGGAAGGGGTGCCGCTGTACGACGAGGCTGAGCCAAAGTCGGTGCCGGGCCCCTGATCGGTCCGGCGGCGACGCACGGGCGGCAGGCTCATGCGCCCCCCCTGGGAGGAGTCGTCGCTGTGGTAGATGGCCTCGTACGAGGGCTGCGACGGGCCCCGCGAGCCAGGGTGCTGCATCTCGCCCGGGCCGGGGAGGGCAGAGCTGGTGGTATGCCTCGGCAGGGCCGACCACATGGTCGGGCTGGTGGGAGGAGCCGTCTGCTCGGCCTCGCGCAGGAGGTCCGTGTTGCGGCGGACGATATTGTGCAGCCTACCCCTTTCGTCGCGGTAAAAGTCACGCTCGGCATGGGCCCGGTTTAGCCGCGCCTCCATGTCCTCCAGCTCCTTTTTGTAGTCGCCGTTCTGCCTCTGCAGCTCCGCGTTTTGCTCCTTGATGATTTGAATCTCCTGCTTTTTGCGGTCGCGGAACCGACGCGACGCGTTGGCGTTGCGCTTCCTCTTGTTGTCGGCTTCCTTGGACGCTTGGAACATGTCCACGTCGACGCGGATGGCCTCGGCGCCCTCGGGTTGGATCTGGAGCGCCAGCCCAGTGCCGTCCTCGGCTCCCCCGCTCGTCACAAAATCGCGTATCAGCGTCCCTGCGTTGGGCACCGCCATCATGCCTCCTCCTGCCTGGCCGCCCTGCGAATACCAGCCCCCCTGATCCCGCCCACCGGGCATCCACCTCCCGGGCTTCGGCGGCCTCCCCATGTTGACGCGCTTCCTGTCCGGCCCCATGCTGTCGTCATCGTCGTCGTCCGAGTCGGGGGAGCTCGCGGGGCTGTGGTCGCTGGGTCCGTAGAGCGGTTGCGAAATCGACCTAAGCCCGGACGGGGTATTCTCGCGACCGGGAGGGGCGTTCGCGTACGGGATCGGGGGTGCCGGCCCGTGGGTCTGTATGCTCGACAGAGGCGGGATCTGGTGGAGTGGAGAGGGCGCGTGGTGAGAAGGCGAGCTCATGCGCGAGCGGGAGAAGGAGTGTCTCTGTTGGTCCATCCCTCTGACCGCACCAGGGCCCCCTAGGCTGACGGAGCGGCTGATACCCGGCAAGATCCGTCTTCCAGGAAAGCTCGGGTTGTGGTGCCCATGCTGCTGCTGCTGCTGCTGCTGCTGCTGTTGGTGGTGGTGGTGATGTTGCTGCTGCTGCTGCTGCTGCTGATGTTGCTGCTGATGTTGCTGCTGATGTTGCTGCTGATGTTGCTGCTGATGTTGCTGCTCCTCGGTCCATGCCGCGTACGAGGACGACTGTGAGTCCGGCAGGGGGCGCGGGGTGACCGAGGGTGTGGTTAGGGGTGATGGAGATGGAGAAGGTGCTGCCCTGGGAGGGAAGGGGAAGGAAGGCGAGGGCAGGGAGGTCATGCCCCGCTGGGCAGAGTCGGGTCCGGGATACGGCGGCCCTCCTCGCGAGCCTGGCCGCGGGGGGGCCGCGCCGGCGCTCAGGGGTCCGGTGGATTCGTTGGGTCCGGGGCGAGGGTAGGGGTCTATTGGTGTGCCGTTCTGGCCCTGTGACGAGGAGGTGGCTGGGTTCAGGATGTCGCGCATGTTGCCGGGTCTTGACGGAGGATTATGAGGTGGTTGCTGTCGGGGTGGATTTGAGGGCTGCGCGGCGGCGGCGGCGGCGGCGGCGGTCTGCTCCTGATGAGCATCGCCGGCTCGGGCGCTGTCGTGGCCGGGTCCAGCGCCAGGGCGCTGAGCCGTCGGTGAAGCGTAGTGGTCTCCGGCGCCGGCGGCAGGCGGTTTGAAGGACGAGGGAGAGTTATGGGGCTGGCGAGGCGCAGATTCCCTCTGCGACATCGGATCCTGCTCCCCGGCGCTTGGTGGTCGACCTCGGGGACCGGCGCATTGGCCGCGGTTGAGGCACTTCTCCGACTCACACGGGCCAGACCCAGCCCTGCAGGCGCAGCTGGCCGTCTGGTCCGGGCTGGCCTTCTTCTCGTCCGCACCAACGGCAGCCGCTGGTGGCAGGCCCGTGGCCTCGGCGGCAACGGCCGCGTTGGACGAGCAGCTTTGCCTCCGGTACTGCCGCTGCTGCTCGCTGTTGTGGTAGTGATTATTGTATGAGTAGAGTTCGTGTGGTGCTAGCGGGTTGTCTGCCGGGATCGCCAGTTCGAATGATGCTCCCGGGGGAGACTTTGTGTTCTCCTATCGTCCTACGGAGGGCAACGAGGCCTTTATCCTCTGTCGCGATGGTGAGACGCCCTCCACCTGTCTCTGTTCGGGTCAAGAGACCAAACAGTATCCAAGAGGGTCTATTCGCAGTCCCAAGACCGGGTAGAATGGGGGGAGGGTATGGGTGCTGAGCCCTTTGTCGCAGCGAGCTAGAGAGTAAAACAAGCAGGCAGATAATCACACGGGCAGGCAGGCAGGCAGGCAGGCAGGCAGTTTGGCCAAGGCGGACCGGCTGTTGATGCGCCGACGGGATCTTCCTGGAACTGTCCAACCGCTTCGTCGAGGTCCAGGATTCGGGCCGGTTGAGGTGATAGGTAGCAGAGGTGAGGGGGGCTGGGTAGCGGTGACGAATCGGGAGGCCAGGACGGCGAACACAGGCAGCGCCGCGTTGCGGATTTTCCAAAACTGGGAGAGGTCGGCGACGACAGGGGGGGAGGGGCCTTCCTGATGTGAGTGATCGTGCTTTGCAGCTATTGCGTATTATTTTCCCCTAGCCTGGTTGAGTCCGACGTGAGTGGAATCGAGTGCAGCGTGGACGGCCAGTCACGGCGGCCAGGACGAGTACTCGTGCGGCGAGTGGTTGTGAGTGGTTCAGATGCCTATCGCGCTAGGATCGAGGTGCGATATCTGACTGGACGGAAGCTCCTAGGCCAAGGTTTGCCTGGCCCCTCTCCTCTCGTAAACAAGATGGCCTCGCTCCGCAGGGCGCCGAACAAGGCGAATGGATTGCCTCGGGACGGCTGGGTGGTTTCCAGATGAAGACGTGAGAGCCAAGTGATGTATGGGGTCGTGGGGCGGCCGCTATTTCGTGATATCGGGTCTCGTGACGTCGACGCTCTGGCAACCACAGGCGACGGTGGCGGGCGCAACTCGGGAGGCGTCTGTTGCCGTGATAACGGGCTCACCGGTCCCGCGGCAGCATCTGTGAGATGCGAGTATCCTTGGTGCAGCCGCTTCTCGGAACGAGGAGGGGATCGTGCCGTCAACTGTCGATGCCGCTTCGTGTATGCTTCCTTTTTTTCCCTCACTATCCACGGTCTCGGTTCGTCGAGTCAAGTGCCGCTTGGTGGAATCAAATGCCTCTCTCTCTCTCTCTCGCTCTCTTCCGTTTGTCTCCTCACACTTCCCAGCGTCGTCGACTAAAGTAAGCAAGGAAGTCAAGGATCAGGAGACAGAGCCAATAGGTCCGGCAGTGAACGGGGCCTGGACGTTTTTCTATCCTTTGGCCGGTCCATCAGATCCCCTGTCGCAACCAGAGCTTTATCTTCTGGGCTCCGGTCTGCGCAAACCACGAAGAGCACTGGTACCAGGTAGGTAGTGGAGAAAGGGCGTGTCCACAACCATGAAGGGGGTGTGTAGAGAGCAGTGGTGCATTCTGGCTGGGGTACAGTGACCCTGGTAGGAAAGCCCCCTGGCGCTGCTAGGTGGAGAAAAAGTGGGAGACAGGGCTTGAGGTTGAAGGAGTCATCCCTCCCGCCAGTTGCCAGGTCTTGCTCGTCGCCTCGCTGTCACACCCGGCTTTCCTAGTCCGCTCCCCCTTTTTTTTTCTTTTTTTTTCTTTTTTTCTTTTTTTCTTTTTCTTTTTTTCTTCTTCTTCTTTTTAATTTTCCTATTATTTTCTTTTTTCCTTGGGTTTCCCTTTTATATTTCCAAGGGACAAAATTTGCACATTTCTTTTATCCGGATTCATTTTCTTGCCCTCGCTGATGCTCCATCCAGGTGTGGACACGCGCCCATGCCATTTCACATCTGCCCGGCAGACAGGCAGGCAGTCACCCATCGATTGCTAGGCAAGATGGCGACAGGAGGAGACCTAGATCGGATTAATGGGGATATTCTGGCTCGTTATAGCCCTTTGAACCACGTCCTTCTAGGATCGGACAACAGGCGAACTCTATGGTGATCTGGCTAATGAGGAAAGTTGCTCAGTAAAGACAGCCTCCCTTGTGATGCTAATCTTGGGTCCGTGAGAAGGGGGTGAGAGGATTCCGGCCCCGGACGGGTGTGCCGGTCAGATGTGCTGCCCATGTAGGGATGCGATGGATACTTGCCAGCACATAGGCGGCTGGCCGCGATACAGCAAGAGAACGCTCCCCGAGGCCGGGGCTAAAGGACGGCAGCGGGTGAGGGTCTGCGGACGATGAGTTGTGTCTGCAGCCATGTATGTATCCGTATCCGCCCACGGACGCGCAGTTCGCGCAGTCGCCCATACCCCCCTGCCATCACCTAGGCAGTCAGGTAGGTATGAGAGGGTATTTCGCCTGGTGCCGTGGCAGCTAATTTTTGGTACTAGAAATTTTCAGCGGGTCCCTTCCGATAAGCAACGGGCGGGCCGGCTCTGGCGCGAGCGCCCGTCGATGTATGGCACCACCCGGCCTGGGGAGGAGGGGAGGAGGCAGCCAGTGTCTCCGTATGTCCGTCCGTCCGTCCGTCCAACGTCGCGCTCGTTTGCGAGCCAGTGTGTCCTCGTTGCTTTTTGCCCCGTGGCGGGCGCCGCCTGGGACGTACGGCGTCTCGTGGAGGGAGGTCGCGATATGGGCCAGTTATGTCGCGTGTGTTTTGCATACCTCGTCATAACGCCTGCTCCCGTGATCGGGGACGACGGCTGGTGCATGGGCAGGGCAGCAATACCAGCCGAATGCGACGCGCCGCCGTGGCTTGGGAGGGTGCTTGCTGTGCTGGTGCTTCGCCAGCACTGATGCTATGTACCTAGGTAGGCATGTATCTAGGTGGGCATGTACCTAGGTATGTATGCAGGCAAGCCCAAAGGGGTGGAGGGAGGGGGAAGCGCGCTGGCCATTCGGGAGCACGAGCGAGAGGCCCCCCTCGCTCCCGGGGGGGGGGTGTGGGCATGCTATAGGCAAGCTGTGGGCAGGGTAAGCCTCGGTGCTGGCATCATCCTGCCTGGTGGTGGTGTCGATGTTTTGCCAGGCGGGTGGGGCACAACCAGCGGTCTAACTATGCCGGAGACGAAAATGTCGAGCTACAATTCAGGCTTGGCGCACGCGGTCTGCAATTCCCGAATGCACACCGACCGTCCATCCTATGCGCACTACAACCTTGGGATACGCGTGCTGCCCGAAAGCACCACACCAAGGGCCGGCCATCCATTCATGGAACAGCGCCGTGCCCGTGGGGTGCCCCGGGTGGGCGTGTCGCCGCAACGTCACGCCCGCAGCAAGCCAGTGTGTCCAGCCCCCGATCCAAGACAGGCAGCTGCAGGTGTCGTGTCAAAAAGCTCCGGCATGGAAACGTGGTGAGCAACTGCTGTTCCTTCTGCGGGCGGTGGTGGCCGCATGGTCGAACCACTTGACGCCCCGGCTAGTGCTGCTGTCAAAGGCGTTGGCGTCTTGCCATGGCTGCGATGACAGACGAACTGAGCCGTCCGTGCCCTGCGTGGCTGGTATTGTGTTTAAAGCACAGTGCCGGTGTTCCCGTCCTTGCCTACGTAGTGCCGTATCCTCCAGCTGAGCCTCGGCGGATCTGGGCCGGGCATCAAGCTCGCGCGGAAAGAGACGGCGGAATACGCCCGCAGTGTCGCAATCCGGGCCCCGGGGCCTCCAGGGTGGCAGACTCCAGAATCCCCTCACTCGTGCACTTTCCGTCATATTCCCGTATTCCCCCTAGCTTGACTAGGTCGGATCTCTGCCCGGGCTAGGATGAGAGGGCCGGGTTCGACAAAAGACAGAGCAGTAGAGGCGGCGAGTAGTGGAAACCAAGTGTCTCGTACAAATGCGACAGGTCATATCCGGGCCGCGGGTTTTGCCAGGACGGGGCTGGCAGCCGAGAGATTGGTGACCAGCAGACTCGCCATGTCACCATCCTCCCACCATCCCATCCCGCGCGAAGACGTGCATATTAAAGTGGGTAGAACAGAGCAGGCCGAGGATGGTCACCCAGATCCGAGGTGGTTGCGGCGGTGTTGGCATTGACGGTGAGCAGTTTTGGAACGACTTTTTTTCTTTTTTTTTTTTCGTTTATGTTTTTTTTTTTCTTTTTTCTCTTTTTTTTCTTTTCTTTTTTTTCCCCCCAAGTCATGTATCATTTTTCGAAAAATGAAGAGGTAGGAAGCGCCCGCATCTGCAACCGGTCTGCAGTTTATGTACGGTCTGCGGTTGTTGGCAATTTGACGCGGAGCCAAGGAGGCGTAGCACGATGAGCAAAGTCTCTTTTCATTGGGCTATTTTATTTGTTCCTTGTTTTTCTTCTCGGGCGGGCGGTGGTTTCCTTTTGCTCCAGCTGGTTGCATCACGGCTTCCTTCAATTGCACCTGGGGGGCGGGGAAGGAGGGCAACGTCAAGGTGCATCGCGCCTACCTTGATGGCAGGCAATCTAGTATCCGACAAGGACATTGGCCACGTACCTGGTTGGGAGGCAGTTGCGAACCCTGGCTGGGAAGGAACCTTGAGAAGGAACTTTGGGAAGGAACCTTGGCTGGGTACCAGGTACCCGCCCGTGCTCTGGCCAATGAGGTTCATGCCATCATTGATCCATTTCATCACCTTCCAGGTCAGCTCAGTTCTCACACATTCGGGACGCTCAGTCCCCCTGGCCAGGGTCAGAATGACTACCAGCCTCTCCTCATTTTTGCCTGCCCGTTCGCTTGCTGTCCGCCTTTCTGGATCTGGGATGAACACATGGTTTCAAGGTGGTGCAACGCGGGCGGGGATGGCAGTTTGGGGGCGAGAAAAAAAAAACAGTGCCCTAGCCCCGGTTGGGAATAATCTCTGCAGGTGGCCGCTACCTATCTACAGTAAGGGCTAGGCTGGTGCCCACCTGGGAATGTAATGGGGTACCTTTGGGTGCCCAGCAAACGGCGGGAGCAGGGCAAGCCACAAATGCCAAGGTACCGCCTCGCGCCAGGTGAGAGGCGCTCCTGAGAGGTGCCCCCAGGTCAGTTGGCAAGGTTGGGTACACCTGCGTGCGTGCGCATGGACTCGAGACCTGCTGCGTCACTTATCGATTCTACAGGGATTCCCGCTCACCGTCCCAGCCCAGGCCAGCTCCCCCCACCCGACTGTTCGATATCGCCATCCGGGCGGGGGAGGCCCAGCAGACTCGTGAGTGGGTGGTTCGCGTGTGGGTGGTTCGTGTGCAAGTGGTCCGTGGGTGTCTGTGTCTCGTGGCACAATCTTTGCTGTGCCTCTGCAACACGAAGCCGCCGGGTGTGATACGGTAGACGACATCCATAAACACATCAGCCCAAGACGGAGAAATGATAAAAACTGTGCCATTACCTACCCGCGGAAGACGGAACTGTCCGCCGGTACGTCACCGCTCTTCTCTGACTCCATCTTGCGCCTTTTTTTCTTTTTTTCTTTTGCGCGCATGTTGCTTTTTGGGTCTTGGTTTTTATTTAGCGATATACGCAAAACTCGATATATTTTTTCGGTGCAGACGCACGGACCTGACTGCTTTGGGGACTGAGACCACTTTTGGTCCAATGCAATAATACAGACCGCTATAAGGGGCCGGATGGACGGCCATTCGTTTCTACCCACCTGGTTGCCTGCATCCATCTTTCTCACGCCATGCACGAGGGATCTCCTCATCCCGTGTTCTGCATGCCATGCACCTTTTGCTCGCATGCAGGTCATTCCTAATCCGCCCAGGCGTTGACGCCCAAGCCCCCCCTTTTATGGCTGGTAAGGCGGCCCCCCAGCAAAGCAGGCAAGCAACAACACTTTGGCCCTCTCCTTACCGGTGGTGGCGGTGAAGGACAATGAGCGCATGACGGCCGGGACGGCTCCGCGAGCCCAGCTCTCTCCTGGTCAGCCCTTTTTTTTTTTTGGCCTCCTTTTTTTGTTTTGTTTTCCCGGTGATGCCTCTCAGGACGCCCCGTATACGTGCAGCCCACCCGGACACGTGTACAAACCACCACAAATCCAGGCTGTGGGGGGCGGGAGCTGTTACGTGGAGAGAGGCAACAAAAATAGAGGCAGGTGGGTGTGTGCAGCGTCGGTCCATCCGGCGCGCCTCCTCGATGGCCAGCGCATGCCCTGCCCGTGTTGCTGGCCGGCTCCATCGGTCCAAGGAGCGTCCACGATGACCGCCCTCGTGGCCACGAGTTGCGACAACACTCGCCAGGCTGGCCGCCGGGGTGGTGGTCGACAGGGCGGGCCGGCCTCGTCGCCCGCGACACGGATGCTGGGCGGGCGACAACAACGACCCACCCCATGGCGATCTCATCAGAGAGGAAACGGTCGACTGCGTAGCGACCCGGGCTCCCTCCCACCACACAAACAGGCACCCCCCCGGTCTTCTGGAACGTGACCGATATGATGCGTGGACCGCCGACCACGCCAGCCGGAAACCCTTCTTCAGGCTACCACCCCGGGGCGATCTCTGAATCAGCGCGGCCAAGGCGTACCCTTGTCACCGTCCGTCGACGAGTGGCCCTAACCCCCCGGCTCCGGGAGAGAACCCGGCCATCACGCACAGGAACGGTGAAGGCGGTCAGCGCGAAGGGATTCCCAAGTGTGTGTCCACCAGCAAAGCAAAGATGCAGATCCGAGCGGTGATGCTGGATATGGGTGGGGGAGCGGGCCCCGTGCAGTTTTTTTTTTCTTCTTTTTTTTTTTTGCTTCTTCCTGTGTTTCTCGTCTCTTTTTTCCCTTTCCACCCACCTTGTGTGATGCGGGCTGTAGGGATCCTGACCAAGCCAAAAGGAAAGAAAAAAAAAAGAAAGAAAAAAAGAAGAAGCAAACACGGGGGACCCGCGAAGGCCCGCACTGAACTGACTCTGGACAACCGCTCGCACCCCACAGGGCAAAGTTGGTGATGGCGACGCGACCCCGTACATGGACGAACCCAAGGTCCTAGACCTCGACGGAGCGCCAGCGCATGCCGATTCATCGTCGACATGACCCTTCTGGGTGGACTTTTTTCTTTCTTTTTTTTTCTTTTTTTTTCCTCCCCTTTACTTGCGCCCGAAGGCGGCAACCCGTTGGGCTGGGCTGCAGCGGGGCTGTTTCCCTTGGAGGCATCCTTCTTCAGCGCGGCACATACTGATGGAGACACACATCACTGATGCATACAAAGTATGAACACACGTACTAGTACACACACCAGACCAGCGTTGTTGTTGTTGTCCGCCCTACAAGAAAAGAGAAAGAGAAAAAAAAAAACCAACACCCCCTTTGAGCCACACCTCCCCCTTCCTGCGGTGCGTCGTAATTCTGCATTGCCTCGGGCGAGAAAGAGGCCCGGAAGCCCCGGGATGCCACCCGCGGCTGTGCCCGGATGCGTTCGAATTTTTTATTTTTCGGACCACAAACGTCGACCAGGTGGGAACAACTCCGCAAGCGCTTGTCAGAGAGGGTGCCATGTAGCCCATTCCCGTACGGAAAAGGCGGTCGGGTGACGAGAACCTATTAGCTCCAGCTCGATCAAGTTAGATCGGGGTGGCCCTGACTTGTCTGCGGCCATAACTGCGGCCGCGGCAGGGAAGGGGAAGGGGAGGGGGAGGGGCGTGTAGACTGGTGGGAGCCAAGAGAAACAAACGAAAGGGAGAGGAGAGAGACAGGCCTCTGAGGATAATGGGCCCAAAGAAAGAAAAAAAAATGGAAGAAAAAAAGATGGAAGAAAAACTGGACCAGGAACGTGGGGCGGCCTGCATCACGGAAGTGCATCCCTGGCTCCCGAGCATGGATCAGACATGTCAGGCATCGACCGTCTTGGTCACAACCCAGTGGGCAAAAAGAGTGATGTGCGTGCATATCAGCAGCAAGTACGCGCAACAGAGCCATCAGACGCGAAAGGGGAAAAAGATAAACATGCGCGCGCGCGTGTGCACACCGCAAAATCGGGTGGAAGCTATGGTCCGCCACCCCGGGTCCCTTTTTCTGTCGCGATCTTCTCCTCCTCCTCCTCCTCCTCCCTCCTTGGGGTCTATGATTTCTCCGGGACCGGTCAGCGTGTCGAAGAATGATTCCCAAAAAGAAGACGTTCGCTGGTCGACGCTCTCGGCCGGGAGGGGGGGTGTATTAAGAGCCCTGAAGAGAGCCCTTCTTTCGAACAGGCACAAGAATGTGGGGAGGGAGAGGGGCGTCTCGCTAGCCAGCAAGCCAGCCAGCCAGCCACCCCTGGTTGTGACATCTCCCTCTTCTTTCTCTCTTCTCTCTTGTCCCCTTCCCGCACAACCTACTAGACTGCTCTTTCTGCAAGGACCAGACACTGCCGGATATCTCTCTCTTGTCTCTATCGCTACCAGACTGACGTCAATATTGGCCACGCGCAAAAGAAAAGTGGCCGAGGCAGGGCGGCAAGATCGGTTGTTAGCCGCGAGGAAAGTTGTGACGATATGAGCCAAGCAGGGCAACGAAACATGGGGACCGAAAAGAAAAAAGGAAAAGGAAAAAAAGAAAAGAGAAACCAACTGAAAGGAAAACAGAAAATCCCAAACAAATTGAAACCCAGATCCTGAGGGTTGGTCCGAAACCGCTGTCGTGCTAGCACATGTGCACTGTAGGACCCCGAGTGGGCGCCGCCCAGATAAGCTCTATCCTCCCTCACCCCCATCACAAATTGATAATCCATCTCGGCACACTTTTCGTCACCAAGCCAAGGCGCCTGCGCGAGCGCCCCCAACTAACAGATGGCTCGTGGCACTTGGCGCGCATAACTCCCTTCTTCGTCACCCACCTCCTTCCTGCGGGCTTGTTGGCCGGCTCGCCTCATCTCAATTTTTTTTTAGTGGGTGAGAGGCAGGAGGAAGCGAGACTTGCCTGAGCAAGGTCGGGACGGCCAAGTCACCCTGGACATTGGACATGCTCTTGACTCGAATCCTAGATAGGGCCTGCGAAGTACCGAGATGTGCATCAAAAAGGATACAACGTCGAGGAGTAGGGATGTGGACCACAACGCGCCCCCCTTGCCAGAGAACAATGGAAGTGCAGAAGACGATGAGCCGCCCACTTGGTCTCCGCTATGGACAACAAGAAAAGAGAGGCTGAGGTTTTCCTGGGAGTGCGCAAAATTGGCAATCTGAGGACAGTCGCATTGGGCGCCAGCAGCGGTGCTTTTGTTTGGCCTCACACACACGCACACACACACACACACACACACTCTCTCTCTCTCTCTCTCTCT